CGTTAGGTTTGCTCTAAGTGCAAGGTGCACCTCTGCCTTAAAGGTGGGGTATGTGATTTGCAAAACGGCCGGCAGATTTTGTAGCGCTTTACCAGCTCGCCTCGGCTCGACTCGACTCGACTCGCCTTTGTTTGGTTTTCCACTTTTTTTCGTACCACCTCCGGCGGGTTCTGAGCGAGCTGAGGCGATACTAAAATGTGACGTGTAACCACGGCAGACTGCTGATTGGTCAGAGAGAATCGTCACTATTCACTGCGTCATCATTGCACGCGCCAGAAGGAGTATCCTGAATAACCCTGCTATTTTTAAATAGTTTGGCCAGAGATTGCATGATATACCCATTACTACTATTATTATGGCAACTCGGAAGAATACGCCGTGGTCAAACGATGAGTGTGTGTCGCGGGTGTGTGTTGCGACTCGCGTAGAAGATTACGTCACGGCAGTTTCCTGCGGCGTCGCTATGACGACCAGCCAGGTACTATTTGTGGAGGTAGGCCTAGTATCTGCAATGGAAAACGGAGCGAAAAGCGAGCCGAGTCGAGTTGAGTCGAGCTGAGCTGAGCTGGACTGGTACTGGTAATGGAAAAGCGCCATAAAACTGCTAGAAGCTTTTAGTAAGATTTTGTTTTGGCGCAGTACCAAATATTCTCCATTAGATGCCAGCAAAAAAACTCCACTGGTGCACACAGTGGTTAATTTGTGATTTGCACAGTAGAGTTTTTCTCTCTCAAATATTACAAGCATGCACACACACACACACACATTTATTTTATTGCACAATGCACACATAAAAACCACAATCTGACATCCATACCAACACACTCACACAATTACAGCTGCATAATTCATCCAATTGGCTTTATAATATGCAGAAGCAGAAAACAGGAATACAAGTATTTTATAGTGAGTATTTGCTTTATTGGTCAAATGGCAAAATCGTATTTTTTTTTTAATTATTTTAATTTTGAAGCCAACATAATGAAAGCCTATTAACAAAGATTGCATAATTTCATAGTTAAATGCCCCTGCGGTTAATAATTGTAGTTTCGGTGGGTTTCAATGGGGACATTTTTGGTCCTGAGTGGAACTATTTTGTATATAGTGCAAAATAGATTTATTAAAGGAAATTGGGGTGACAGTAAAATTCCAATAAAAATACACACCTGTGCAAAAATGTATGCAGTGTGCATTAACACAAGCAAAATGATCAAATTAAAAAAGAAAATCCATAACACTAACTTAAACTGCACTGTAAAATAAACAAGTTGCTGCCATAAATTTGAAGTACAAACGACTTGGATGTTTAAGTCATTTCAACTTAAATTACATTAAAATGACTTTAAAAAATGAGTTGAACCTTGAAAGTTGAAAAAAGTTGCAAATTGCTTAACTTATCTTGATGAGTTAAAGTAATGTAAAAACATATGTTGTGATAACTTATTGATCATATCATGTTTTACAGTGTGGAGGACAGGTGACCACTAGGGGGCCTCAGCAAACTTCCAAGGGAGACCTATTTAGCCTTATGAGTGTTTAAAATTAGTTATATTAACATAATATTAATTAATATTCTAAAAGAAAACAAACAAAAAAATAATGATGTAAAACACTAAACTAATGTCATTTATTAGGCTATTTTATTTATTAGTACCAGAGGTATGGTATTGTACTGGCCTATTGAATGTCTGTATATTTAAGCTATTGCATGTCAATCATAAACATAATTACTGTGGAATACTGTTCATTATTATTTGTTATGCTTATATTAAATTAGGCTTTACCTCAGATTTCTAACTCTAACTCTGTAACCAGTAAAATCTCAAACTCAATTTCTTTAACATAAAAAATGCTCCCATAGAGGACTTCTTGGAAAATGTCAGCTTCCTATATCTGATCCCACAGCGGAGATATCAAAACCTGAAAGAGTATTTTAAATTGCACTTTCTTACCCCTATGAGAAAAATAATTAAGAGAAGTCTCAAGCCTGAAATGTTCTGCCCGAAATGTTTTATTTGGACTGAGAATCGAAACCTTCCTATAATAAATTGAAATTAAAAGTGGATGCTTGAGTGATCTTGTTCATTACATTTGGACATAAATTCTAAGTCAAAGGAACAAGAAACTGCTTTTTGGGAGCAACACCCATCCTTGAGGTTTCTGTACACCCCTATAACCAAAATTTATTGGGAAAGACAGCTATTGTGTTTAAACCAAGTAAAATAAAAAATAAAAATGGGTGATTTTGCAATACCGACACACATAGAGGCAATCAATCAATCAATCCATCAATAATTCAATCAATCAAACAAACAAATTTAGAAGAATTGAAAATGGTCAAGCAATCTCAATTGGACATCTTGAGATACACTGACCCTGCTGGTTTTACTACATTTTATTTTCATGATGTTGACACTGTCAACAATAATAATCCTAGACATTTAGTCCAGTGGGATGGGTTATAACAGTTTAACTATAAGTAGTACCTTTATAAACTACAATTACTGCGCTAAAGACATTTAAACAAACTGTGACATGTCATGAATATGCATGAACTGTGATGCATTTTATTGCAACGCATTATTTTGTGTATAATACGTTCTTTTCTAAACTTTTTTTTATTCTATACTTTTTATATAAAGGAAAGAAAATGTAGGCATATAAAGTTCTGTATCTTTAGGTTTCTTTCTCTTAATTATGTCTAGATAAGCACTTAGAATTACCATTATGATATGCCATATATAAACTTTGCCATTTATTTTGGTTGTTAAATTCTGTACAGTAAAAGTCCTTTATTTAAGCTTTATATTATTCAACAGTTTTATTCGGAATATTTATCGAGTAATGCTAACTCTTGATTTGTTTAAATATGTATTATTAAATTAATCTCAAAGAAAAAAACTAGCCAACAGGTTGCTCCAGAAGAGAATTTGTGTCTCCTAAAAGACATTATGAAATGTTCTGACTACAAGCTTGACAACATCAAACTTGAAAATATATTATTTTAATAAAAATTGTTTAAATAAAAAACTACAATAGGACTTCATGTGAAGCACCGATAGTATTCAACTTAATGAATCTGACTTTCCAACAATAGTAAGTGGCGTAGTATTTCATTATCAGTAATAGCATCATGTCTGTGTACAGAAAAAAAGTGCATTAGGTAAAGGGATGTTTTAAAACATTATCCATTAATGAGGTGCTGTGCCTTTAAGAGCGGAAACAGCTCCTGTTCGCTGTCCTCCACCCTCCTCTGTTCAATGACGCTTTACAACATCGCTTTCATCAAACACGACACGAATGAATGCACGAATCAATTACAGGTAAAAAGCCATAGCCTACTTTCCTTTATCTATGAATTTGCATGTTTATGTTTTAATGCTTAGATTTGTCGTTAATGCGAAACATAGCGGGGCAGTTTCTCACCTGTCTTCTCGACGATGCTCATCAACACCTTGTTCTTTTAGCTCAAGGGAGGCTGAAAACAGACAGCTGTCACTGTATAGTTCAATCAAACGATAGAAAATATCGTTGATTCTTAAATGTGAGCTTATTTGACCCTTTTAAAATATCACTACAGACAAATACATGTCGAGTTAGATTATCCGTGCTGCGTTTTATGGAGAAAGGTGGTGCATCAACATTTAGCTTGTATTTCATATCAGTTTTTTAAGTAAAGTGAGTGTAAATTCACTGTACAATGGAGATTTTCAGATAAGGATGACATGTATGACGTCACCCAGGGCTCGCTCCAGCAGTGGGTCTAGAGAAGCAGCGGATATGATGTGATGTGAACGGGAAACTTTGAAGATTTTTAATACAGAAGTTACATTTGTAATGGTGTAGGGCCTAGCCTATTTTCATTTAGATGTGGTATTATTATTTGTGGTATTATTAATTACTGCATAAATTAATTAAGATTATTAAGTAATAAATTCATTTTAAGACAGCATGGAATAGATTGTATAATATGCTGTTAGCTATAATTTGGATGGTAGTATCATGAGCCACAATTGAAGTCATGTGACACTCATGCCAGGCGGCAGGCGTTATTGTTGTCGAGTTTCCGCGCGCCGATTTCTTTGGGCCGGGCCTAGTCAAAGTCCAGGGCCGTTTTTTAGTCCCAGTCCGTCCCTGGGAATCACCATCTGTCATCCGCAGCATCATCTGTGTAAACTGTGGCCTGGTTACATCTCCACATAACTGCTGCTGCATATTATAATTCATTCATTTAATCAAAATGTAGAGGTTTTATTAAGCATTAAACACTATTAAACGTTTATGTTGCATATTCCAAATATATTATGCCAGGTTAATATGATTGATAACTGAAATTAGTATTCAGTTTAGACTTTTTAGGAATTCTTTCTGTATGCTACCATATCTATGGCTGCATTTTTTGGCTACCTGCAAAAGGTATTGTCACTAACTTAATACATAGGGTCAATTATATACATTATGGCATAAAAACAAATATTACGGCTCAATTATAGTGCAAATAATACTACGGTCCTCTATTGCCTACTTATTGAGACCAGGGGAAAGTAAGCCCACCCATTAAAATTATGTACCATGATTTGTAGTGATGGCCCTGTGACTGTGTGTAAATTATGCACAACATTTCATAACACAATAAATGCATGTTGAATAATTGACTGGTTTCTATGTTATATTACACAGCTCTCTGCTCTGTACTTTCATAGTAGATTTGTATGTAATAAAATTTACTGGAAGCTGCTGGATGTAAATTCTTCATATTCAATCAATGTTTTCAGATAGATATCTGATAACTACAGGATACAAAGGGACTAAACCCATCACTAGGTCTAGAATAGAATGTTATGAAATATATGAAATGTCCAATAAAAAAAAAAAAGACCACACTTTAAATATATAAATTTGGCCTAAACAATCATTAATTTTTTGACCTTTTGACATTTTCTGACATTTATGACTGCTTTTCAGTATAGTATATTTATTCATGTTTATTTTCATTTCAGGTTTATAAGGCCTGTTTGACTCTGAAAACTATGGACCAGGTGTGACCTTGGCGTATTTCATATCATCTCTTTTACCAACTCTACGTTCTCTATCAAGATGGCATCATGTGTTTCTGGATGCTCTTCAGTGATGAGGTTCTGTCAGAAGCTCAACAGGCTAAAGACGCTGGAGGATGACGTAATGGCAACATCACTGAAGCGTTGTCTGTCCACAGTGGACCTCGCTCTGCTTGGTGTCGGTGGAATGGTGGGTTCAGGCCTGTATGTTCTCACAGGAACCGTTGCTAAAGACACTGCAGGACCAGCTGTGGTGGTGTCGTTCCTCATAGCAGGAGTCGCGTCTCTCATGGCAGCGCTGTGCTATGCTGAGTTTGGCGCCCGTGTACCAAAGACAGGCTCCGCCTACATGTTTACTTACGTTTCTGTTGGGGAAATCTGGGCGTTCCTGATTGGTTGGAATGTCATTTTGGAGTATATGATTGGCGGGGCTGCAGTTGCTCGTGCATGGAGTGGCTATCTAGACTCTATTTTCAATCACCGCATCCAGAACTTCACTGAAAGTCATGTGATGCGTTGGGACGTGCCCTTCATTACTCATTACCCAGACCTCTTAGCGGCCTCCATCCTCCTAGTGGCTTCATTTTTCATCTCATTTGGTGTTCGTGTCTCATCTTGGCTCAACCACATCTTTTCGGCCATCAGTATGGTAGTCATTGCCTTTATCTTGGTGTTTGGCTTTGTACTGGCCGACCCAGTCAACTGGAGCGCTCGGGAGGGAGGCTTTGCCCCGTTTGGATTTTCGGGTATTATGGCAGGAACTGCAACATGCTTCTATGCATTTGTTGGCTTTGACGTGATAGCGGCTTCCAGTGAAGAAGCCAGTAATCCTCAGAAGGCTATTCCTATAGCGACTGCCATCTCATTGGGCCTGGCGGCCACAGCGTACGTCCTGGTGTCCACAGTTCTTACATTAATGGTTCCATGGCATACACTCGACCCAAACTCCGCTCTGTCAGATGCGTTCTTCAGACGGGGATACAGCTGGGCCGGGTTCATCGTGGCTGTGGGTTCCATCTGTGGTGAGTACGAGTTAGTGGTTGACATATAGGATTTTTAATGGCCAGTGTTGATATGAGTGAGCAGGGTGGTTTAATACAAATATACAAAATTAAATGACAACAAAAGATGTAAATTTTTTTTTTAAATTTAATAACCACTTAACGCAACAATTATTTATTAATTTTTCATCAATTCATTATTCATTAATTTTTTTTAGATAATAGTGGCCAATCATATAAGCAAATTATTCAGTCTTGTTGAAAACTATCTTGAGGCAACATCACATCTCTTTTTTTATGCCCTTTTAGGAAATTATTAAATATTCCATCCTGGTTTGTTTGCATGTCACCTTACCCATTGAAAAAAATGATTACCTCCAGTGAATGTCTTTTAAAAATGTAATTTATTTTATGGCCATATATATAAAAAATGAATACTTTTATAGCTAGGATGTATTAAATTAATCAAAAATGGCATTAAGACCTTTATAATGTTACCAAAAATGTCTAATTCAAGTAAATGCTTTTCTTTTGAACTTTCTATTCATCACACCATCCATATTGCAGTTTAAAATATATTGACTTAGAAAACTTGTAATAATATTTCACAATATTAAGGTTTTTACTGTATTTTTGATCAAATAAATGCAGCCTTGGTGAGCAAAAGAGACTTTCAAAAACATAAAAAAAAATCTTTCTGACCTCATACTTTTGAACGTGTGTGTAGAGATCCATTAGCCTGGCATGCCAGACCTACATCAAGATGTTAGGTCTGGGAACTCTCCATTGACATGCCTCAATCCGAGGGGCGGGATAAACGGTTACCTTTCAAAATCCCTCTGCACGCAATAGGATAACGCTACAACCAACCAGAGCAACGAACGGTTGTGGATGAGTGAGTCCCATGCGTTTTTCCACCAGCGGAGCTAATTGATATATTATACTTTTGCCGTATCAGGACGGCAAAAATCCGAACACATCTTCCTTTTTTGAGAATGACTTAAGTGACGTTCTCTTAACTCCAAGTCCTCCAGAGTCGCGGCCAAAGCCGATTCGAAAGACCGCTGCATCTTCATTGTTTTCAAGTAGCAGGGAAATCACCTATGGAAATCACGCGGAACGTCATGAACTGTGCCGTCATTGTGTTAAGCCCGCCCGCCGACTCTATACACGATGTGATTGGCCCGACCAGTTTTTGGTTTTTCCAGCTCAAAAGCCTATGGAGAGTTGCTAGACCACACTGGCTGCGAAATAATTTTCGCTGCCGCTAGGGTGCGTCTAGATTTCTAGGCTAGAGATCCATAGTATATATAGAGATCCATACCGATGTTCATATGGTCACATAGGCGTAAAATAAAATATTGTTTCTTTTTATTTTTATTTTTTTATCTTTGAAGACATGATTGAACTTTATAGCAGTCTCTATAATTGTTATGTTCATATAGATGAAGAAATATGGAGTTATACTGTTTCCTATCTTGTCTAATTAAAACGATCTAATCTCTTTCATCTAGCCATGAACACTGTGTTGCTCAGCAACCTCTTCTCTCTCCCGCGGATTGTGTATGCCATGGCGGAGGACGGCCTCTTCTTCTCTGTCTTTTCTCGTGTCAACCCTGTAACCAAAGTCCCGGTGATCGCCATTCTTGTTTTTGGCAGCCTTATGGCATTTCTTGCCCTCATCTTTGATCTAGAAGCACTAGTCCAGTTCCTCTCTATTGGCACTCTGCTTGCTTACACTTTTGTAGCGGCCAGCATCATAGTGCTCCGCTACCAACAGGATAAATGTACTGGGAGCTCAGCAGGAAGTGGAATCGAGAGAGATGCTTCATCCACACCTTCACTGAACCAGTCAGGGCAGCAGCTGGATCCATCTGTGGCAGTGAACGAGACCCAGACCTTTGCACAGGACAGCGGAGAGCCGAAGGAGTACGAGTCATTCTCTGATAAACTTCAGCTGGTGGAGAGGCAGAAGGCGGTGAAGGAGAGACGCGCTGCTGGGACACTGAAGGCTCGCTGGGAACCGTATCTGGGCCGTATACTGGGGGACTGTGAGCCGGGGGAGGTGGTGGCGTTCTCTGTGCTGGCTCTGATGGTCAGTGCAGTCTCTTTAAGTGCTGTGTTGGTGTTTGGGAGTAACCAGCTGCATCTGCCTGTGTGGAGCTTCACCCTTCTGCTGGTCATCTTCAGTCTGGTCTTCCTGCTCAGTCTGGCTCTCATCTGGGTCCATGAACAGCAGCCCAATCACAAGACCTTTCAGGTGAGTTACAAATACTGCAGTAATGAGGTGAATAGACATCTGGTAAGACAAAACCACAGATATTATACAGTTAAAGCCTTTAACTGTATAATATCTGTGGTTTTGTCTTAACTTAAAGGGTAGTTTACCACAAAAAAAAAAATCTGTCATCAATTACTCACTGTCATTTAGTTCAAAAACCATATAATAAGACTTTCATTCATCTTTAGAACACAAATGAAGTAATTTTGAATAAATTGTGAGAGATTTCTGTTCCTCCGTTGAAAGTCTGTTCTCCCAAAACTCTGATGTTCAACAAGTTCATAAAGAGACAGTTAAATAAATCCATATGAATTTAATTTAGAATTGTATTCACATATTGATCAGCGAAAATATTCACATTGTTCAGCAAACATACATAAAGCATTCTCTTTATGAACGTTATGAACTAAGTTTTGGGTGATTAGACACTTCATGGAGGGACAGAAATTTCTCAGATTTCATAAAAAGTCTTAAGGGGTTGGAACGAAATAAGAGTGAGTTGATGATAGAATTTTATTTTTGGTTGAAATATCACTTTTAGAAACAATTTAGTGTATTACTGAAGCACATATGTTTTTATGCACACACATATGTGTCTAATATTTGTCCTGTGCAAGCCTAAATCATGATATGTTACAATTGCATATACTGTACAATTGTGGTCATAAGTTTATATACACCTTGCAGAATCTACAAAATGTTAACTGACTGAGCTTTTGAACTCGAATGTGTAATGAGTGACAACCGATAAGTACTAAGAGCATTTAGGAGTGAACTGAGGATACTGATATCTGATATAAAATTATGCAAAAATTGTTTCAGCCTAAAGATGTAAATAGATTTCAGCATTGTTTAATATAAATGCAAATTAGATGAGTTAAAAATTACTTTGTTTTTTAGGAGCTGATTGGCTGCAACAAACTGAATGAATACATTAAATTACTCTAAACTCCCTTATTAATAAAACCATATAAATAAATGTAAAAAAAAAAAAAAAAAAAAAACATGTTTGTATGCTATGGACCATGTGATTATGCATTCATGTAGGATGTATGTAAAAGAATCACTGAATAGTTTTCTTGAACCAGTTGATTTAAACAAACCGTTCAAACCAACTGAGATTGAGTCATAGAAATGAGTCAGGCTTTCCATCACTAGTATGTGTTTCATCATTCAGGTTCCTCTGGTGCCATTTATTCCTGGCTTCAGCATCCTCCTGAATGTATTTCTCATGTTGAAGTTAAGTCCGCTCACCTGGATCCGTTTCACCATATGGCTCGCAGCAGGTACCAGTTCATCACATTTCACTTCTCCTTCACCACAATATTGTGAATTACATAACATCAATTTAGTAATTACTGTACTAAAGTAAAGCATCTAAGGAGATATATACACTTTATGAACTGACCGACTCAGTACAGAACAGCATTATCTCATTAAAGACAATTACTGAAAACAATGAACATATCGCTGTCTTAAGGTGATAGTTCACCCAAAAATGAATATCTACCCTCATATTGCTCCATTATGTAAGTATTTATTTCTTGTGTGGAACACCAAAGGGATGTTCAGAGTGTTTAACCTACTTTTTTCTTATAATTAAAGAGAATGGCAGCCATTACAAGCCGCGGTTCCATTACAGATTTGCGCAAAACTTTAGCAATATTTTATAAATGTTGATAAAAAACTATTGTGAAATGACAGCATTTCCATTACCTATTGTTATGCGACTAAAACACTCACAAAAAAATTCCTCTCGCGATAAGTCATTCCACAAAAAAATAATTGTCTGAAAAACCACCTCATGTGAGCGTAAAATCGTTTTTACGATTATATGGGATTTTTTTGCAAAATTGCTGTTTCCATTGGGCGTATTTTCAATTCGCAGTTGAAGGGTAATGGAAACGTGGCTTCTGTCAAGCTCCAAAAATACAAAAAAACACCCTTAAAGTTTTTTAAACCCATCCAATAGCTTTGTGTAAGGAACATAATGAATTATAAATTGTTAGTCACAGATTTGGAGAGTAAATGTTGACAGAAAACACATTTTGAGTGAACTGTCCCTTTAAAATATTTTCTCACACTGACATTTTGCTTGGAAATTGCTTGTAGCTAATAGCCTCGAGTTCAAACTATGAAAATGTACTGTTACCCTGACAGTGAATAAAAACACCATCTTGTTTTAATGAGAAATAAATTGTAAATGCCATGTCTATAGACTTGTTTTGTTAGTTTGTTAATCAAAGCTAATCGCTAAATGGCTGCTGCTTCGCCATGTGCAAACTCTTAAAGAGACAAGGCAACTATTGTCTTAGTGTCTCAGCATTTATTTGCTTTGGACTCATCTGTGGGAAGAGAAGATCAGTCCAAACATGATTATGTTCAGCTCCTCTCAGCACTGCTACAAACCATTTAAACCGTTAAACCAGCCTGGTCACATAATCAAATTTGTCGTCTTGCTCTGTCACAGGTCTTCTGGTGTATTTCGGGTATGGCGTCTGGCACAGTAAGGAGGGCTTACGGGAACAGCAGGGGCAGGAAGTGGCAGCGCGTTACGTGGTCCTTCCCAGCGGCAGCCTTGTGGAGACAGTGCAGAACGTCCAGCCTGAAGGACACACTCACAACACACACACACCAACCCTCGACAATCCACCTGCCAGCAGATGATCTGATCATGCTGAGGTGTGTTTACAGTACACCTGCATGCCTACCTGTTGTATTACTCTTGCTTTCTTTATCTTGTGTTTCACTTCCGTTTACTCCGGCTGTCATCATGTCAAGATACTGTTCATCAACTAAATGGGTTAAAGGAATGTTTTGGGTTCAATACAAGTAAAGCATAATGTTTATTACCAGCGTCTCACTGTAACTCAGATTTTTGCTTTTTTTAAAGAAAAAGGAGGGACAAGTTTAAATACATTTTAGTAGTAATCAACATTATGCCACAAAGGCTGTAGATTGAGCTTAACTTGTACTGAACATGAAATATTTCTTCTAAAGTCAGTGCGTGATTGTTTTGTATGCAATCATCGCCCTTTGTCAGCATCCTATTCATAACTGTGGGCCATTTACTTTCTTTCTTACATATCATATCCACTGTGTTAAGCTACTTTTAGCAACTATGCTGGCTTGTATGTAAATTATATATGAGAATAAGCGAAGTGCACCATAATTCTGTGGCCCAACCGGATTCATTATCTCCATTGTCTTTTTAATGGTGTTTATATAGAGCCGAGTGGATCCGCATTGCTGCTCTGTGAAAGCTGAAACCTTTAAGACAGACTACTGTTTATCATTCAAACACTGATGTAAGTTGTTGCTTGAACATATTCTGAGGAAACTTTATTTATTTGTGTAGTCCAAACACTGAAATGCACAGGTATGATGGTTCATTAATCTATAATGCAAGAATCTGTGACTGTTGAAAGGTAATTTGGAGTGTATTTACTGGCAGATACCTGATATTTTTATGGTTTCTGTGGACCTGTGGGAAATACTGACAATCACTGGTTGGTAGACAGAAAATATAGGGTCTGTTTAAAGGTCTATGAGTGTCTAAGCAAATGCTGTTAAGGGATCATGTGGATCTACTCAAATCTATCTCCCTTCCCGTAATATATCCCACACACACTCACTCTGATGGCCATAAATTGAATTTAACAGAAGGCAGGAACCAACAATGGATCACATGAATATACTCAAACATTACTGTATTTACACATACATTATTTTTGGGTGTTTGGGTCACGAACACACTCCTTAAACACACACTAACCCCTGTGGGCCTGATTCCAACCCTTTTCTCTGTGTTTTGTTTTCCACCACTTTTCTGCACCTCATGAATATTTATTTATAATATAGTATAACTGTATATTTATTTATTTTTCAGTGTATACTCAGACCAAAATCATGTTTTAATAATGTTCACTATTCATGATGTTTAAGTGAATTGAGTTTTTATGTGTATTCCTGAGTGATCGTGTTTCATTTGTGTCCACTGACACTCCTTACTTGCATTACCTTTGCAAACACACTTACCCAGCATTCACTAATCCTTATTCCCACACTCAGATTTGCACATCTCATGTGACGTCCAAACACACACACACACACACACACACACACACACACACACACTAAACTGCCCTTATTCTCACACACACTCAAACAGTGTGATGTGACTGAGCTGGGACATTTACTTGGCATTGGTACCTTGGAACTGACTGGTTGTTTTAGCTTCTGGACATTTTTGTCCAGATCTATTAATTTATTGAAAATATACATTTCATACATACAATTACTTGAATACACCTCTTTTATAATAAACATGTTTCTAATATAAAACAAATAAATGACAGGGTGATACAACTATCCTGATTTCAAAATGAAGAAGAAAAAAACTATTTAAAAGTATGACGTTCTTGAAAAGAAATAACCTTTTATTCTATTATTTCATAGAAAAAAACAAGTGTTTTTTAAATACTATAAATATTTGAACAACTATTTGAGAAGAGTTAATTTCTAAGAACATGACATGCATTTTAGTGTGTTCACACTTGTAGTTCAGTTCTCTTTTTGGACCAAAAAAAAAAGATCAATTTACTCCTTAGTGTGTACACTGTCACCAAACCTAAAGATGCATAAGAAAGGGCATGAGATAAGGTCAAAACCTGATTGGACAGCTTTTATGTTTTATATTTTGCATCAGATCTTGCCGAACATCCAAAATAATACTGTGTGCTAAATGCGCTTGTTGTATGTGTGTACATATGGTGGTATTTTTACCAACTTATAACTCACAAACGGCTTATAAAATGTGTAAAGGAATTAAAACATCTAGGAATACCTCCATTGCACATTCAAATTTAAGAGCTGGTGCAAAAGGACGCAGTTTTGATGCGTCCAAGTATGCTTGAGCATTATGTCCTTTTTAGTGTCAAATCTTGTGACATCACATCCTGTTTTTAGTTTGTTTATCTTTGGTCTGTGTTGTGTTCATATTTCAGTCGACCTGCTCCAGAGTTTGTTTGGAAGTAGACCGAGAACCCCTGAAAATGTGGGTCTCGGTCCCCTTGTTTGGTGTGCACCAGGTTTTAGAAGGCAGTGTTCATCACACTTAATCAAATGAACTGAACTTACAGAGCAATAGCACCAGAGTTCATTTTAATAAAACCAAACATGCCAAGTATAAACAAACCCTTAAAATGTTTCTGTTTGTCATTGACCCAGCTTCATGTGTGCATTAGAATGTGTCCATTGAGCTTTAAATTGTATGTTGACCATGAAGATTAAGTCATTTTTATGTTAGAATAGAATAGAACACTCAAAATGATATTGTCAAACTTACACACACATACACAGTTTTGAGAATGACTGGCATCCCGATCACCAGTGTGCCCTTCAGAGCACTTCACCTTGAGTTTCTCAAAGTGGACTGTCCCTGTTAGTAGTAAAGATAAATTTGCTTTAAATGGGAACTTAAAACTATTTATACGTCTCCTTAACACTATAATATTGACAAACAAGCACAGAACAGACCCTTTCCTCGGTACAGGGTTAATAGAAGAGTGCATTTTATACGTAGTGGATACTGGCTTGACAGCAGATTTTAAAAATGATTCCATACAAAAGCAAGTATGGGATATTCTGCTTCACAAGCCCCTTAATCTCCCTCACCCCCTAGATTTACAGCGTTCCCTCCCTCACAGACTGACCCAGATTATCCCTGTAGAGAGAGTCAGTGCATCGGAGATTATTATTGTTGCTCGGATAGCTTCAGCTGCACTAGACACATTCAGAAACATGATGTGTCATTCTACTTCCTGCTGTTTCTGTTTAATCATGCACTCTTAATACTTCCTCACTGATATAAAGAATGTGACTGCTCCCTCGTAATCCTAAAATTTCCTGTTTATGTCCTTTATCCCATTTTTATCACATGATTAGGGTAAAAAGTCCAACACATCACATTGTGGCTGCCCATACACTGATTCAGATCGAATGTCCATATGAAATACTCCCTTTACTGAGTGCACTGGCCCTGGTGTTTATTCAGACGCTTCTAATAGAGGTTTATATTCTCAGTCCGTTCCCTGCTTTTGTTCAACAGCTGTCTTGAATTTATATCTACACATGTCTGCCAGTCCACTCTGCTGTATCCACTTCATGTCTTTCTGGCAGCCAAATGTAGTTGCTTAATGAGGATCTGAAGACTAGATGAAGGCACAAAACCCAGTTAACAAGTAAATATTATATCTATATGTTTGTATAGCACATGTAACCAATGGCCTTAATGATTCAGATACTGAAGCATTCCCAAAGTTTTACATACAGCTTCTGTAGACTTGTAATTTTAGACTTGTATTTGTGGAATTTAAGATTATTGAATCAAAGATGAAAATCATTATAAAGCTGGGATCTTGTTTTAAAGAAATTTTGGAGCACCTCTTTTTGTCTAAACCTCTTTCTACACCTTTTCCTGTATACCAGTTTGGTTTGTTTATGCCATTTTCACTTGCACTCTCATCTCTCTCAAAAAGCACCACTTGTTATTAAGAAATGTCCTCTGTTGTGTCATGAGCATATACCTCTGTCTTTGTAACTTTCTGTTATGAGAGATTGTATTATATAGTGATGAATAAATGTTTTGAAGCATCATATGGTTTGGTTATTCATAGAATGTGTGGGGTATTCTTTGTGGAGTTGTTTTTATTTTTATATAAAGTGTCAATGATAGTATCGTGTTTTTTTTTTAAATAATCAACGGTAAAAACTTTAACATCAGGAATGACAGATATATCTATCCTGACAGGAATGGATTATTAGATTAAGCAGAATTTGTGAGAAGTCACATGGGAATTTTTTTCCAATTACCAGTGTGACCTAGATGACCTCGGCTGAACTAGGTGTGGATAGATAACTGGAGCGTTTGCTTTTGCTATGTGTTTGCCAGATGCTACATGAATGATTCAGCTTGACAACCAAGATCTACCCAGACTCCATAATATGACACCCATCATGCTTAGCTGCACATGAGATTCCCAACAATGCCACAGTACAAAACACTGGGGTTACATTTCTCTTTTACATGCTGAGTTTGTCAGTCATATAAGCACAATACAGTAATATGTACAGTGTCTACCTTGAGTTTAGGCTACCACAGGAAACAGTGACACAAAACATTGTGTGTGCAGTCGATTCAATATTACATAAAGCACTGATAGACCGATGGATCTCTGTAGTGAAAAGATAATAATGTTTCACTCCAGCCTGAGGGTTGCCATGACAACACTGAGGTCTTTGTCAGTAAACATTCACATCTATTCAGTTGCCAAGGTTGAAATTATGGGCAACACTTAAATAAATACCCATTTAATAAATAATACAAATAAAGCCAAGCAAGCCAAGAAACAGCTGTAGAAATGTTTAGAGTTTTAACCTTTCTTGAAGTAATATCCTGTATGCATGTTGCCAAGTCAATAGAGGGATGATTGATTAAATAATTAATGTAGTAAATACATAATAGTAAGCAATCATACATAATGACTTGAATACATCTCTTCTGTGATGAACATGTTTAAACATGCATTCATTGAAGTGAAAAGAACTTTAAACAATTTTTTTAGAAACATTGTTGGTATTTGAAATCAACCCAAACGAACCCTCCCCTCATTGCTCCGCCCACAAAATGCACAAACACACAATGTCTCTTTACTGTATCTTTATCATCTGAAGCAAAGGAAAAAAATGCTTCCTGAAAAATAATGCTTCCCGAAAAATAAAGCAAAGATGACAAATGAATGACAAAGAAAAACAAAAAATTAAAATACAGTACACAAGAGCAAGAGCTTGTTTT